TCAGCTTTTGTTGGACAAGTTCAAGTGTGTACCTGCTTTTTTGCCGCAGGAAATTCTGGTGAAATATTACCATGGATTCTGTAAGCACCATTTATGGCCACTCTTTCATTATATGCTCCCATTTTCAGCAAATCATGGGGGTAGGTTTGATAGGTCTTTGTGGGAGGCATATGTAGCAGTAAATAAGATTTTCTCGCAGAAGGTGATTGAAGTTATAAACCCTGAGGATGATTATGTTTGGATCCACGATTATCATTTGATGGTGTTGCCAACATTCTTGAGGAGAAGGTTTAATAGACTGCGAATGGGTTTCTTTCTGCACAGTCCCTGGCCATCATCAGAGATATATAGGACGTTACCAGTGAGAGAGGAAATCCTTAAGGCACTTCTGAATTCAGATCTTATTGGATTCCACACTTTTGATTATGCGAGGCATTTCTTGTCTTGTTGTAGTCGCATGTTTGGTTTAGAGTACCAATCAAAAAGGGGTTATATTGGACTAGAATATTTTGGAAGGACTGTTGGTATAAAGATCATGCCTGTTGGCATCCATATGGGCCAGATTGAATCTGTATTGAGACTTGCAGACAAGGAGTGGAGGGTAGGAGAGCTAAAACAGCAATTTGAAGGAAAGACTGTGTTGCTTGGGGTTGATGATATGGATATATTTAAAGGTGTCAATTTGAAGCTGTTGGCAATGGAACAAATGCTGAAACAGCATCCAAAGTGGCAAGGAAGAGCAGTGTTGGTACAGATTGCTAACCCAGCTCGGGGAAGGGGAAAAGACCTCGAGGAGATACAGGCTGAAATACAGGCAAGCTGCAAGAGAATAAATGGAACTTTTGGCCAACCTGGTTATGAACCAATTGTTTTTATTGATAGGCCAATTTCTCTTAGTGAAAGAGCTGCATATTACACGATTGCTGAGTGCGTTGTGGTGACGGCTGTGAGGGATGGGATGAATCTTACTCCTTATGAATACATTGTTTGCAGGCAAGGTGTCTCTGGAGCAGAGAGTTCAGAATCAAGTGGTCCAAAGAAGAGCATGTTGGTAGTTTCAGAGTTCATTGGATGCTCTCCTTCGCTTAGTGGTGCAATTCGAGTCAACCCATGGAATGTTGAATCAACTGCTGAAGCAATGAATGAAGCAATTTCGATGGCTGATGCCGAGAAGCAGTTGCGGCATGAGAAGCATTATAGGTATGTGAGCACACATGATGTGGCATACTGGTCTCGGAGTTTTTTCCAAGATATGGAAAGAACTTGCAAGGACCATTTCAGAAGACGCTGTTGGGGAATTGGTTTGGGATTTGGTTTCAGAGTTGTTGCACTTGATCCTAACTTTAGGAAATTATCACTTGACGCCATTGTATCTGCTTACTTAAGGTCCAAAAATCGGGCTATTCTTTTAGATTATGATGGAACGGTTATGCCTCAAACATCAATGAATAAGATACCAAGTCAGCAGGTTATCTCACTTATCAATACTCTTTGTGGTGATGCTAAAAATACTGTTTTTGTTGTGAGTGGAAGAGGAAAGGATAGTTTAGGCAAATGGTTTTCTCCCTGTAAGAAGCTTGGAATTGCAGCTGAACATGGTTACTTCATGAGGTATGGTACTTAAATCTCTTCCTATTTTGATACATTTTCACTGTTTGCACTCACCTCTAAGGTTCGTAACATATCAGGTGGTCTGCGGAAAAGGATTGGGAAATCTGTGGACAGAGTTGTGACTTTGGGTGGATACATATAGCTGAACCTGTTATGAAATTATATACAGAGGCCACTGATGGTTCTTCCATTGAGGCCAAGGAGAGTGCTCTTGTTTGGCATCACCGGGATGCTGATCCAGTTTTTGGATCAAGCCAGGCCAAGGAAATGTTGGACCATCTTGAAAGTGTGCTAGCAAATGAGCCTGTTGCTGTGAAAAGTGGCCAATTCATTGTTGAAGTGAAGCCACAGGTATAT